CCTATATGGCAACACAATTGCAATACAGCAAAATGTATCTTCTGGATCTTTGAAAAAGTCCTGAGGCTAGAACGGCCAATCAATGAGACATTGGTGATATTAACAATCTCTTTACAGGTGTTTAGATGGGACGTATGGATGGCAATAATTTGCTTAATTCTTATCAGTGCCATGATGTTAGTTGTTATCGGCTATAATGTAACAAATTTCCATATTTTTTCATCAGTCTGCGAAAACTGTTTTCGTGTTTGGAGCATTTACTGTCAACAAGGCTTGTCAGGTATTAAAGTACAAGATTCACCAATGATTTATCAAATTTCATGCAAAAATATGTTTTAATAGAATTTCCTAGTCAACTGCATTTGAGAATTTTTTTCTTATCACTAACGATATCAGCGTTTGTTATCTCAACTATGTATTCTGCTTTGCTCCTGAGCATTCTCGCTGTGTCTTCAACATCTGCACCGTTCAGCTCATTAGAAGAGTTCGCGGCCGACGGCACTTACAAGCTCATTGTGGTAAAAGACACTGTATACTACGGAATGTTCAAGGTAATCAAATATATAATTGATGATTCATCACACCGAGAAAAAAAAACAATTTCGCCCCTTTTTCAATGTTATGCAAATTAAAACTAAAATCACTTGGAGTTAAAAAAATTGAAAATCTTAATTCTGAGGTATCCTGCGAGTTCAGCGCCTCTCTGTCTCGTGTCCAGATCCGTCTTCGTCAGTCTCGAAGGTACAAAGCCAACACACACAAACTCTTGCGTGAGACAGAGATGCACTGTGTTGTCCGACGATGTTGTGCGCTGCGACAATCTAGCATCAATTTCTAGAGAGCTAACTAACTTATACAGCTCATTCAAAAATCATACAATTCTCCATGAAATTCTGAATGATACGATACTAGAATGTAAGGTATTCTTCCTGGCATTCGGCATAGGACTCCTACCGGCGTATAGGCGCTCCATGTTAGACGGGGCGGGCATTCAGACGGCTGATCATTCGGAGGGGTTCTTCGACGGGGTCAGTGGAGACGTTTTGATTGAGCGCGCTTCCAACAGAAGCTTATATAATAGTCCAGTTAATTTAGCCTTTGACCCTTAATTAATTCAGTTGCCCA